CTGCTTGCTTTCTAATTTGTTTCTGTTCCCAGTTCTGCCCAACCTGTGTGGTCTTTCCCAGTTTTACTATTATGGTCCATTTGTTCTCAGGCACCTAACCTAGCTTTGCCTTCCTCCTAGATGGCTACTGTGATCCATATATCTTGTTCCACAGGTGCTACAGACACACTGAAATCTGTTTGACCTTTACCATAACCGCTCAGGATGTTTCTTGGTTTCAGCCTCTACTAACACCTCACATGACCCTGACTGTAAGCTGTTCTGGCTCTATCTCTTCTTGCTTGAAGACAATACTCTCTCCCTCCCTCTTCACTCTAACCTTGAATCTCCTGTCACACTGTTGCACAGTTACTCCGCTTTGCAGCAGTCATGTATCACTTCCTGGATCATTCCTTGAAGATTTTAGTCCCTATATCGCTGTCACTCACTCCAGCTCTACTGTCATAACTCTTGGGGTACTTATAAATGATCCTTTAATCACTCTTCCTCCTTATTTCCAATAATCCTCCTCCCTAACTACCAGAGCCACTCACCTCCACACCTCCATCCGTGATCATATTTTTAACTTTTTCATCATAAATCCAATGATAATCTCAATTTTAATTATCCCATTTTCTGATTACCAACGCCTATCTTTGCATCTCACTCCCTCTAGTAAGCTAACTCGAGTAACTTGTCATCTCCACCCTACAACTCATTAATCCTGCCACTCTTTTACTGTTCCTTACTCCCTCCTCACCAGCTTAAATTACATGGTCCCTTATTTTAATTGCACATTTGCAAACACCCTCAATTCCCATATCTCTGTCATTTTTAAAACAGCTTTACTGTGCTATAATTTGTATACAATAATATTCACTCATTTTAAGTGTACAATACAATTTGTTTTAATAACTGAGTTAAGCAATCATCACCACAATCTAATGTTAGAACATTTCCATGACCAACAGCAAACTTCATTGCCATTTGCAATCACTCTCCACTGCTACAGTCTGCCCCATGGAACCATAAATGTAATATGTCTACAGATTTGCCTTTCCTAGACATTTTGTATAAATGGAATTATACATTATGTGGCATCTGTTACTTAGTAAAATGTTTCTGAGGTCCATCGATGTTGGAACATGCATCAGCACTTCACTCCTTTTATTTTTGAATAATAACCCATTGCATGGATTATCACATGTCGTTGGACATGTGATTATTGGACTTGTTTGTCCAATCACCAGTTGATGGGCATTTGGGTTGTTTCCACTTTTTGGCTATTATGAAAAATGGTGCTATGAACATTCACATGTAATTCTTTATGTGGACATATGTTTTGATTTCTCGGGTATATCTCAGTGTAGAATCGCTGAATCATATGGAAAAACTATGTCTAACACTTTAAGAAACTGGAAAACTAAGGTCAAAATAGCATTTTACATTCTTACCAAATATGCATGAGTGTTCCAGTTTCCCCACATTCTCCCCCAACTCTTGTCATTGGCTTATTTTTTTGATTACAGGCCTCCCTTTGTGTATGAAGAGCACCTCACTTTTAATTTGCGTTTCCTAATATCTAATGATGTCTTCATGTGCTCATTGAACTTTCCTATATATTCTTTGGTGAAATTTTCATTCATATCCCTTTTTCAGACAGATTTATTGAGATATACTTCGCATACCATACAATTCACCCATTTCAGATGTACAATTCAATGGTTTTTCATATATTCAGAGTTGTAAATCACCACACCACATCAGCGCCAAAAATCAATTTTCAAACATTTCATCACCCCCAAAAGAAACCCAGTATCCATTGTCAATCACTTTCTATCCCCCACACCTCCATCCCCCAACTCCTGGCAACCACCAATCTACCTGTTGTCTTTACATATTTGCCTTTGGGATATTTTGTATAAATGCATTCATACAATATATAGTTTTTTGTAACTGGTTTCTTTCACTTAGCATGATGTTTTCAATGTAAACCCATGTTGTAGCATGTATCAGAACTTCACTCCTTTTTATTGCTATTTCATTGCATGAATATGCCCCATTCTTTTTTTTTTTTTTTAAAGATGACCGGTAAGGGGATCTTAACCCTTGACTTGGTGTTGTCAGCACAAGCTCACCCAGTGAGCCAACCGGCCATCCCTATATGGGATCCAAACCCGTGGCCTTGGTGTTATCAGCACCGCACTCTCCCGAGTGAGCCACGGGCCAGCCCCAATGCCACATTCTATTTACCCATTCACCAGTTGGTAAACATTTGGGTTGTTTCCACTTTGTGGCTACTATGAATAATGCCACCATAAATGTCTGTGTACCAGTTTGGGGGTAGGTGTTTTCATTTATGTTTGGTACATCTCTAGCAGTGAAATTTCTGAGCCATATGGTAACTGTATGCTTTAACCTTCTGAGGAACAGCCAGACTATTTTCTAAGGTGGATGCAGCATTTTACATTCCTACCGGCAATGTAAGATGGCTCCAATTCCTCCACATCTTCACCAACACTATGTCTTTTTTATTTTAGCATCGTAGAGGGTGTAAAGTGTTATCTCATTGTGGTTTTGATTTGCATTTCCCTGATGGCTACTGACAGCATCTTTTCATAGGATCATTAGCAATTTGAATATATTCTTGAACAAATGTCTATTCAGATTCTTTGCCCAGAGTTATGG